ACCATGCAAATTAGGCACATGATAGATGGGACCATAACACCTCTAATCGATAATCTCTCCCTCGTAGGAATACTGGAAAGCTGAATTCTCCAAAGTAGAATATTAAGCTTAATAGGAACCCAATTATGCCAACGAGTAGCCTGTCCCGGAAGGCACCAAACCACTATCCAATGCATACCTTGCAGAAGAATCAGAACAATCAAGAGACCAACCCAATCTATCCGGGACTTGTTGGAGTTGAACCCCGTGGACCACTTCCAAGAAGGAAATCCATTGAGTTTCTTCAACCCCACCTTTAGGCATACATATATGATTTTTCGTATCCTACCCAATTAAAAATTGATCCCTAACATTAGCTGAGCGGTTCATATCCAAAGAAAAGATATGATGAAAAGAAATTGAAAGGGGATTATTTCCTTGCCACTTATCATGCCAAATGGACGTGTACACCCCATCACCAATTCTAATAGGAGCAAGATTATGGAAATCAAAACCCCTACCTTATGATTATTTACTATCCTCATAATACCATTCCAAGGACCCATCAACTGTCTTTTTGGAATCAAATAACCATTATTATCCCACAAACCATAGATGCTTTTGACCACCCACACCCATAATAAATTAGGTTTATGAAAAAACCTCCACTTCCAACGTAATAATAAAGCCCTGTTAAAGGAAAAAAGACTACCAATTCCCAAACCTCTAACCTCTTTCGGGGCTAGGATTTTATCCTACCGAACCTAATGCATACGACGATCATCCAAATCAGCACCCCAAATCATTTATCATTGTAAGAGGCACCGGATAAATAGACATCAATTAACTAGCAACCAACCCCAAAACTGCTTTAACTAGAGTCATCCATCCCCCAAAAGAAAGACATTTAGCTTTCTAACCCGCCAATCTTTTCCGGAAAGAATCAACAATAGGACCCCAGGAATAAGTTATAGCCATATTCTGTCCAACCGGAACCCCCAGGTGATAAAACAGAAAGCAACCCGAAGAACACCCCATACAATTAGCCATAGATGAAAATTGATCAACCGTGAGCCCCACTACATACAACTTGCTTTTGAGAAGATTGATTTTTAGACCCGATGCTAGTAAGACACATCTCAGAATACGAACAATATGGAGAGCATTTTCCTGATTCCAATCAGCCAACAGAACAACATCATCAGCATAAAGAAGATGGGAAATGGTGATTCCTCCAATCTTGAATCCCCTATAGACATTAGCTTACTGAGCCCTAGCAAAGGCCACATGCAAACCCTCCATAGCCAACACAAAAAGAAAATGAGATAGGCGATCCCCTTGTCTCAAACCTCTAAACATATGAAATTCCTGGCATGGAGAACCATTCACTAGAAGCAAGACAATAGCAGAAGACATCATCTCTAAATCCAATTACACCACAAAGAACTAAACCCCATGATTTTCATGATTTCAATCAAATATTCCCATGACAAAGAATTATAAGCCTTTTCAAAATCCACTTTAAACATCAAAATAGGATTCATAGAGTCTTTATTCCAAGCTACAATTTCATTGAGAAGGAACGGACCATCCAAAATATGTCCGTCTTTTATAAACGCCTATTGCTCCACACTAACCATACTATCAATAACCTCAGCCAGCCTATTAGCAAGAATTTTACCAATAATCTTGTACTGACACCCAATCAAGCTAATAGGTTTATAATCTTTTACAACCTTCGGTTCTCTAATTTTAGGAATCATAGTGAAAAATGAAGCATTACAACCCTTAGAAATCGACGAATGCGTTTGAAAATGGGAGACCATGTCAAAAATGTCATCCTGAAAAATATCCCAATACTGTTTTATAAAACCAAAAGTGGAACCATCAGGGCCTAGAGCTTTTGAAGAACCTGAATCCCACACTGCCTTTTTTATTTCCTCCCAAGTGAACGGAGCATCAACCAACTAAATTTGATCAGACGATAAATTAGAAAAATAGGTATCCTGGATTCGGGGTCGAGTACCATCCTGTTTATAGAAAATAATATGATAATGGCCACAAAACTCCTCAGTAACCGAATTTGGGTCATCAATCCAACATCCATCCTTCAAAGCACCTCTAATAGCCATTTGTCTTCTCTTATTATTTATGACCTCATGAAAAAAACTCGAGTTTTCATCACCTTCAATTCCCCACTTGACTTTTGCTTTTTGGGCTAACTCCAAATGCATAACATGATCTAAATCCATGATATTGTTAAGATAATTTAGTCGTTGCTCCCGTAAAGAGGCATCCCCCACCATCATTCATAAGGTGAGAACCAATAGATTCTACCATATTTTGGAGCTCCTTGTGTTTAGCATACAATTGGAGCCTCGTAGAAGTGTGCCAAACACGAATATTTGTCTTAAGAAGTTGAAGCTTCTTCTTAAATTGAACCCAAGGATGTGAAGCCCTAATTAAATTTTGGTCTTGGGACCAAGAATTTCTGACAACATCATCAAACCCCTCTAAATTGAACCAGGAATAGAAGATACGGAATGGAGTCGGCCAATAATCAACTATATGCTCCGTTAAAAAAATAGGTCTATGATCTGGAAAATACTTTTCCAATACAATACCTGTCACATGAGGAAAGGCATCCAAAACACCATGAGATGTTAAAAATCTATCCAACTTACTAAAATTTGAACCTCACTTATCAATCCATTTAAATCGAGGACCACCAAGAGAAACATAAAATAAACCCGCCTGCTCGATAACATTATTAAAGCTCTTGGCTGTATTGGAATTAAACACAGTACCAAATCTTTCCGATTCATCACAATCCTCGTTAAAATCTCCCATCAACACACATTCCCCTTGGAAAGAATAAATAATCTAGAGAAGCTTTCCCTAAAGAGTTCTCTTATGTTCAGCCCCTTGCGGAGCATAAACCACAATAAACATGGTCGACAATCCCAAAGAAGACCAAATTGCCTCCATAACCGTAAAATAATCAGAAATACGAGAGGATTGAAAGGAGATAGAATCCATGTCTCGAATAAGAAGAATACCACCCGAAGCACCACGAGAAGGAGAGAAAACGTAAGAAAAAGAATTATTACCCCAAAAAGACCAAGCCAAAACAAACATCAATATCCTCCATCTTCGTTTCATGAATAGCTAGCAGATTAAACTTATGTTTAAGACACAAATTATGTACCCAACTATGTTTATTTTTACAACCCGCTCCTTGAATGTTGATGGAGAGACAATTCATCTCAACACCATTTTATCTCCGTTGCCTTCAACAATTTCTTTTACCTGGTCATAGCATCCCTCCAAGTTGTATCCCATTGCCTTTCCCATCTCCAATGTTTTTTGAATCTCACTCAAGAAAGAGCCCTTATTATACGAATTATCTGAACAAGCAACAAAGCTATTACAATTAGAAAAGCCTAGAGGGTGGGTCAGTTCATCTTTTGAGTCAACAACACCCGAAACCCGTACAAACCCTCCCGAAAAACCAACTCGAGCATCTGTACGTTTAGACTTCCTTGTAACGCCACCTTCCTAGCACTACTAGAAAACAGCCCTTTAATGACGCGCAAACAATGGCACATGGTGATTTACGATACGCAAAAGCGTGTGCCCTAAAAATAATGTTATCTCTTCTAAAATTTGAAGGATAATGGACACACTTTTATGTGTGCCCTAAAATTAATGTCGAACAAAAAAAAACAGGTAGGGCACTTATTTAAAAACGGGCGTCGTCTAGAAATGTCGCTTTATATTTTTTTTAATGAAAGGCACATTCTCTTCTTTTGCAGCTTGAGGGAAACGAAAATCCCAAAAGTTTGAAAGACCACCATTGTTACCCTCTGCCTTATTTCCATCGTTCTTCTCTCTCTCTCTCTCCCTCTCTCTCTCTTTCTCTCTCTCTCTCTATCTCTCTCACTCTAATACCCAAAAAAAACCCTAATAACATCACCAATCCTCTTTTTTCCCACAACAGAATCACAATATGACCCCATGTTTTGAACAGATCAAACCTATAGGGGTTCTCGACGGAAGAGATACCGCTTCATACGAGCCCTAATTTCTCATCTAAATTCGTTAACTTCTTCAAATGGTTCTCAGACTTTTTTCTCTCTCTACATTTTCTTCTCCTTCATTTCTCGATCCCCAGAAGGTCAGGAGAACGTTGCATCTGCAATTGGATTGCTAGGTCGTAATCCTGAGAGCGTTGAACGCTGGTGAATGCTCGGTGTTTGTTGAAATTCTCAAAGAAGGTCCCATGAAAGAGTAAGCAGTTGTCGCCTAGCCTGTATCGTTCGATTAACACGACTCATCAAACCCTATAATCGTAAAGGAAACCTAGCCCCCATAGCTTTCTTCACACTTCACCTCCTCCAATCTTAGCTCACAAAATCTCACCTCACGCTCTTATAGTTCTCGGTTTTTTGTGACTCATTTCAAGGAGGTTCTTTTTGATTTCTCTTCAATGATCGATATGTTTGATGCTACTTTAGATCATCAAGATGAGGACAAGTTGAATATCAAGAGGTAGTTTTATGGGCATGAAGCTCTAAATGTGATTGTTTGTGAAGGAATGGAATTGAGCATTCCTCCTCCTAGGCTAATTCCCCTAGCCATGGCCTTCTTCACTCAAAACTAGGTATGAAGATATATTTATGTGTATATATGTAAGTTAATTCATCGATGGTTGATTAGGTGTGTTTATGTTTTCAGTTGATACATATTAATGCTTATTTGATCAAGGAAGTGACAGGAACTTACAAAATGGTTCCTGTGTTAACCATGTTTAGTCAAAAATTGAATTCTTTTACAGTTTCAGTCCTTGGAACCTTGAAATAAAGAGTAAAATCGAAATGAAACCTTGAAATTAGGACCATAACTGAAAAATGCACCAAATTTGGACCAAACATGATAAACATCAGAAAGCACATAGACCATTTTTGTAATGTACTCTAATTTTAGGTTGCAAGGCCATTTCAGGCAGCGCCTAAACTTCTATGTTTGAAGATAAAGTTTCACTTCTATGTTATGCTTTGCAAAGGTCTTTTCAGGCATCGCCTAACCGGCTTATGACTAACAATGCCTACCTGGCTTTATTGGGTACCTCGGTATGACTTCATATTCAGTAATGTATATATGAATTTTTCCCCCTTTTAACAAACTAAAAAATAGTATCTTTTTGTACCAGTTAAATGCATCCACAACAGATGAGGGACTAAACTTCTATGACTCACAACATCGCTTTGAGCACTCACAACTTCTGTTGGTTCTTTTGAGTTCACTTCCATATGTGCCAAAGCCTTTCAGTGTCGCGTATTACAGGTAGTGTTGTTTCCATTTCTACCCTTTTCCCTAGAAAATGTATTTTGTATATTTACTTCTCCATTTGATTTCAAGATCTTCTGATTTTCGCTTGCAGTCATGCTGTTTCCATTTATACCCTTGTCCCTGGGGAGTATCCTTATATTCTTATACTCATTTCTCATCTTCTATATATATAATTTTATTAGCTTTTCTATCTTTCTGCAGTTATATTTAGTCGATTGGATCAAGGAGAAAAACTCATTATAGGTTGTCAAAAAGCAACAATTTATGCTGAAACACAGGTATAATTCTTTTAACACACACATACATACATACATTTATGCATGTATTATGTTAATGAGTGAATCTCTATGAAAAAAACAAGCAGGAAGGTGAAATGGAAGCTGTCAATGATGTAATATTTTAAGGTGAGATCTAATCTTATTAATACAACTCAACAAAGATATGAATTCAAATAAAATAAAAAAAATTAAAATTGATTTTATAGGATGCAAAGTCGGATTGATTGAAGCAACTATTGAAAGAGACCGAGAAGTATCTCCAGAAGTTTGGATCAGCAGAGCCTTTTAAGCAGATAATGGTCTAAATGATAATAGTTAATTTACTATTGAGAATGAAGACGAAACAGATCAGGCCAAGGTATGTTCTATCTTTTGTTACTTTACACTCTTATAACCTTTGTTTGAGTTTTAATATCTTATTAATAAATATTTCGGCTTCTACAACATTACATGGAGAGCAATGAAAAGTACTATTTGATGTTTCATAGCTACTTCATTAACTTTTTTATTTCCTTGTATGTTATTTCTCTTGGCTTTAATCAGTTGTTTTATTTTTTCAAACTCATCATCGGTTCAATGTTATAGAGTCAAAGAACTTCTAGCAGACGAAATGTGCCTGGGGAAAACTGTTCAGGTAGTATGAGGTATAGGTGGGCAAAAGAATTAGTCCAAACTGATCCTAAAAATATGTATATGAACTAAATTGGTCCTGGACCAGTCCTGGACTGTTCAGTCCAGAAAGAAGTCATGCTCTGTCCTTCAAAATTTTACACATGGTAGTCCAAAACCGATCCTAAACAGGTCCAAAATTAAACTGGTTCAAAAACAAACCAGTGTCTTTTAGATCGAATCCAAACCAGTCTCTTGTAGATCGAATCTAAACTATGATGGAGGTTTGTTCTATGCCTCTATTCAATCCCAAAATCTATTCTTTTCATGATAAACAAACCCTATTTCTTTTAAAGGTAAGTTTTTAAAGATCAAGGGTGTAGGAGTCTTTGGTAATGATGCACATGATACAAATATTCCAGTAGAGTGTGGAGATACTATTTGCTAACTAATAGACCAGAGGTGTAACTTTTATTCAGTATATAAATTAAAAATGTGATTTCTCACTTTTTTTTTCTTGTTTCCTTCTCTTTGATTAATTGTTGGGTTTACTTGTGTAGGAATCAGACATATTGTTCACATGGATAGATCTTCAAGCAAAACTCAACACTGAGTTGCTGAATAATTTAGGCAATTTCATTAACCGTGTCTTGAGCTTTATTGCTAAAGATCCATGTTAGTAATTGGCACCAGTTTAACCTAAATTAATGGGATTACGATTTTAAGGGTGCAATTTATATTATTTTCTACTTTCATGCCCTAAACCCTAAACCCTAAATGCTAGGTTCTTTTCTTGCACTACTATCTTATCTTTTTTACTTGAAAGTGGTATGAAGTGAATATTTGGATATTTTGTTGAAGATTGATTATTGGTGATTTTTTGATTGAATCTGAAAAGTTTTGTTTCTGTTGACAGATTCAAGAGGTGGTATAGGTTCAGGATAAAATTCCATTATTCTGGATGCTCCATCTGTTATCAAACACACAAGGAGATAAAATTGGTGCTTATGTGGAACAATATGTGGAGACACATCTATAGCAGGTCAAGTTGCTGCACTTGTCCTTTGCCACAGCAGAGAACTAGCCTATCATGTCAGATTTTCATTTGTAACCCTCCAACAATTTGAAAATGTTAATTTTCACCCATGTCTTACTCTTTGTATCTTGGGTGAGATTTGTCGTAGAGAACTAGCTTATCAGGTAACTAGCTTTCTCATTTCTATAAATTATACAAGATTGTATCTCATGCAAAATATTTATAATGTCACTATTTTTTATTGTTGAACAAAGGAAGGATACCCTTCAATATGATGTCCTTGTTCAAATAATTGAGATTTATAACGAGCAAGTTCAGGATACCCTTCAATATGATATTCTTTTCATTTAATAAATTTCATCATCTCATTGAATGAAATCTTTGCTCCGAATCTTCTTGTTTGGTTTGCAGTTGATCAAAATAATTTTTCGTTTTTCATACTGCTGATTTTGATCCTAGTCAAGACTCTTGGGTAATGAGTTTCATTAGAGTTTTTTACAAATTCTCTTTTCATGCATATGCCTCCAACAAAGCCACTTAGTGAAATGATACCATTCTAGTACGTGTAAATCTTGAAGAAGCTAAGTGTTACTTTTTCTTTTTGAGGGAATAATAATATTCACTGATATGATGATATATGATGTTGCCTTCTCAGGAACTGAAGTCAATGTAAGTCAAAACATGAGAAATATATAAGATCTATAGGAAAAAATTACTGATAGATCTGTTTGGATGGCTTCATCAATACATAAGGGTAAAGAAGAAGGTGATGTGATGATTAACTGATTACTAAAACTTTTAACATTCTTTTAACAGAAGTGCTAATACATTTTGGGTGTTATTTTGTGAATCTTTGTTAGGCATGTGCTATATCAACTGATGAAAAATATGTTAATTTATATCTCCATCATTATACAGGTAAGATTGGTGAAAAATAGGGACAACAATGAAATCAAGGGTTTTGTATTAATTTGTAGCATTCAGGCATCCATGGAATCCATTCACGACTCTCTTGCTGAGGCATTGGTTAATTTGACAGAGGAGGTAGATTTTCCTTTCTTTTCATTATGTTATTCATTTTGGATGATAAATGTCTATATTACCCTTTGATCTCATATGCTTTTTTTTTGTTGCAGTGTGAAAAATTATGGTCAAAAGTGTATGTTGTCTGGCCTAAAAGCAGAACTAGAAGCATTAAGATGAAGGCACTCTGATGTACTGTAGTTGATGGGTGAAAGAGATGAGGAGGTAAAATTACCTTTTCAATGTGAGTTGCTGCATCTTTAGCCTTACTTACAGTTCTGACTTCTGACTTCACTTATATACCTCTATGTGGCGTTTATAGAGAATTATCCATATGCTCACACAAATTTTTGTAGCTGATTACACATTAATTTAATTATGCAGGTTTTGAAGTTTTTGATGGAAAAAAATAGTGTTAATGCTCTTCATAGAAAAGTATGTTGGTATTTTAGGAATTTTGGCTAATAATTTAGTTAATTATATAAAAAATGTTGAAATGTTACATTTGTCTACTATTGGAATGATTATTTGTATTACATTAACTTTTTTGCAATGTATTGTATTTTTTGTATATGATATTTAATTCTCTATTATGAGACATAAAATGCAAATTTAATTTGAAAATAGAAAAATCTATAAATAATTTTTTTTTTTTAAAAAGTTAAAATTACGATACCCAAAAATGTGTGTTGTCTTCATTTATAACATGGCCTTTCTTGATAGGGGCTTCCTTGATACGCATTGTGTATCATAAACACGCGTTGCGTAAGGTTACGACACGCAAATGCGTGTCGTCTTCCTTTATGATAGGGCCTTCCTTGATACGCATTGCAAGTCATAACTACGCGTCGTAAATGCGCGTTGTCTATAGACGACGCGCAAAAGCGCGTTGTCTATAGATGACGCGCAAAAGCGCATCGTCTCTCTTTATGACAGGTCCCTCCTTGACGCGCATTTGCGCGTCGTCAGAGCGTTTTACGACGCGTAATGAGCGTTGTAAAAGGCTGTTTTTCTAGTAGTGTGGTACATATTTGATCTACTTTTATATCATTTGTATTAATGACTCGAGAAGTGGCAGCCCTAACTCGTCGAGTAGATGTGAGGTTGGGATGCGGGTTTAAGTAATCTACTCGCCGAGTCCACGCTTGGACTCAACTAGTAGGCCAGTGTGGATGAAATCCTAATTAAAGGGTTTGCACCCTATTTAAACAACATTATGAGCTTTAGGTCTAGCCTCCATCACCTCCAGATCATTACTTTGGAAACCCTAATTCCGTTTGGCAAACTTTAGCTTTCTTAGTGACTTGGAGGGTTTTTGGTGCATTGTGTATCTAGTAGAAGAGTTGGAAGGAAGAAGGAAGAAAGATCAAGGGAGAAGGACTAGATCCAGGAGCAACATCAGTTTCTCTTCACTTTTAGGTAATCAAGCTCAAAAGTTAACTTGTGTTTTTATAGGCTTTCTCCTTTTCCCCTTTATGGAGTTTTGGGGTCAATAAGCTTGATCCTTATGACATGGACGCCCCAAGTCGATTCACCTTCAGATCTAGACTATAGAACCAAGTTCATGGCATAATGATGCAAGCTTTATGGCCATATTAGCCCATGCACTCCTTTAGACCTCATTTTGGGTCCTTAAAGCTTATACTTCCATGCATGAATGTAAAGTTCATAGCTTTACATGCTAGATCGATCTTAGAAGCCCAGACCTACATTCTCAATAAGAGTTGTATGCCAGAAATCGAGTTATAGACTTGGACAATAGGCAACTTGTGAGTTGTTTTTAGAACTCGGCGAGTCTGGGGACTTCAGTCCCCAATCTGTGGTGGTTCAAAGGAACCCAGTTGAGTGATGGAAAGGATTTAGTCAAGTCCAGAGGAGTGATTTGACATATTGAGAAGAAGCCACAATCTGGAAACCATGGGACTCGACGAGTGTTAGAACACACTCGGTGAGTTTAACGCAATCTCCTTACCCACAAGAACAGACTCGATGAGTTGTTCATACAACTCGGCGAGTCATAGCCTATAACATCCCAAAATTTGAGGCCAAAATTTTCATTTTTAGATTAAGTAAATCATAAAATATGTTGCCAAAACATTGTCAATTTTACATCAGGTTTAAACCACAATGTCGTGTCTCAAAAATCATAACATCATAAGTGATGGAAATCAGAGTACAATCTCAGAAGCTCATTGAAAAAACATGTGTGAATGTGTGATGCGCTGCTACACCACCGACTCCTTACCCTTAGACAAAGAGGTTCCTGAAACCAAAACTGAAATTATAAGCACAAAGCTTAGTAAGTTCCCCCATCATACCACATACCATATAATATCATCGTGTCTTTCAACCGGTAGCTTTCGTCGATGTGTTTCAACCGGTATCCATCATCAGTATCTTTCAACCGGTAACTGTCACCAGTATCCTTCAACCGGTAACTACCATCGGTATCTTTCAACCGGTAATTGGGGACTATTTCACCCTTACCACTATCATACAATAACAAGATATAATCATACAGTCGGGCATAATTAGGTACTGACCTACCCCTCGATCCTAATGACCGATGGTTGGGAAAGACTAATCCCTACCACTTCCATTAACACACGTAACATATCACACATGCATATCTCATGACCAAAGTACATAACCATAACAAGATAATTATCACAAAGACAATTAGTTACCAAATACCCATGTTGGTGGGCTGGCATTGTGACCTTAGCCCCACCCATACTGGAAAGTAACTCACCTCGAATGAGTAGATGCTGATAATCTGCTTGAGAAATCGTTGTCTGCTGCTGCTCCGGAAATCCTCCGGCTATAATCCCCAAAAAACACTTAATCAAAGTCTGATATGTATTCTTAGGGAAAAAGACCATTTTACCCCTGACCAAGTCTAAGCCAAAGCCAAATTCAAAGACAAAGTCAACTTCCAGTTGTCCTGACTTGTCGAGTTGGCCCGCCAACTCATCAGGTCCCTATCCCTTTAATTGTCCTCATCCACGTCTCTACCCATCGAGTTTATCAATGACTCGACGAGTTCTCCTCCTATATAAATCGTCGAAGGATCCTTCTTCCGACTCGCCGAGTTATATGAACAAATCATCGAGTTTATCCTCACCCTATGAACCAGTCCTAGACTCGCCGAGTTTTAAGAACAACTCATCGAGTTCATCTTTAAATGTTGGGAGATTGCCTTGGACTCGCCGAGTCCTATGAAATCTAGGAATGTGGCTTAGCCCAAATCATTGGGCCACTACCTCGGACGCTCTAAAACCTTTCCAACATTCAACTGGGTCCCTTCGACCTGTAACAGAAAAGGGGAGTCTAACCTCGGACTTGCCTAGTCCCAAGAATGACTCACCAAGTCGATACTGTCAAAGTCATATTTCTTTGACTTCTGGTGTACAACTCCTGTCCAAAAGATATATCTAGGTCCCTAAAATCAATATAGCACGTAAAGTTATGAACGTTACGTGCATGCATGGGACTTTAAGCCAAAAAGGCTCTAAAAGAGAGTCTTAAGTTGCATGGGTGCTTCCATGGGTGCAAAAGCAGCCCTTTTCTGCCTTGTAACTCCTTCATGGACCTAGATCTGAAGCCTCAATCCCCCAACCATGCTTGCAATCATGGTTGGTCACCAAGAATGGCTTATAAAAGCCCTAAATCTCCCCAAAAAGGGATCTATCAAATAAATAAGCAAGGTATCGACTTTTTACATTTTGGGAACTGCAAATGATGCACAAACTTGAACTCCCTTAGTCTTCTCTTGATCCCTCTAGTCCCTTCCTTCTTCCTTGTGTTCAAAGTGACCAAAAATCACCACAAATGCCTTTAGATCTTCACACACAATTAGGGTTCGCTATGGGGTTTCTGGAAGCAATAGGGACGAAGGGTGGCTGAAATAGATACTTAAATAGTGTGCAAACCCTTAGATTAGGGTTTTGTCCAGTCAGAGTCTACTCGTCGAGTCCATCATTTAAATCCTGTATCCAATCCACTTCTACTCGACAAGTTTGGCCTTTAACTCGCCAAGTCCCAGGCCAAAATGCAAAATACTTAAATAAATACATACCAGGAACCAGGTGCTACATAGTCTGGACGTGTTCATATGATCAAGGAGGACTCAACGAGTTGTTCATACAACTCGGCGAGTCAAATGAAGGTTGAGTAGATTTCATTATAGAAGGGGAACATGTCGAGTCTTTGCTAAACTTGATGAGTAGAGTTATATATAAGGATAAAAGAAAGGATAGGGACTCGACGATTTGGCAGCCAAACTCGGGGAGTCAGGTCAACTGGAAGTTGACTTTGACCAGGATATTGACTTTGACCAGGGGTAAAATGCTCATTTTACCCTAATATTAGTTATCAGTGTTTGATTAAGTGTCTTATCGGAATTGTAGTCGGAGAGTTATCGGATCAGCAGTCAGACAGTTCCCAATCAGCATTTCAGTAGTCAGACTTACGAGGTGAGTTTCCTTCCAGTAGGAATGGGTCTACAGCCACAATGTCGGCCTATTTAGATAGGAGTAGTTCAGTATGCTTGATGTCTTTGTGATTCAGGAATGTCTATGCATTATGTGTTCTGGGTTGCGGTCCGATGCAGTATGTAGTATACGTGTTATTGTTATATATTATGATTATGTTATGCTATATTCAGTCAGTTCCAGACTCCAGTCCGATGCAGAGGGCGAGGCCCTAGTTAGTTTCGGACTTCGGTCTGATGCAGTGGGTAACGCCCTATTTAGTTTCGGACTTCGGTCTGATGCAGTGGGCAAGGCCCTAGTTAGTTCTGGACTTCAGTCCGATAAAGAGGACAAGGACTTAGTCAGTTCCGGACTTTGGTCCAATGCATTGGGCAAGGCCCAGTATGTGCTTTATATGTTATTTTATGGTATGTGGTAGTTTGGAGGAGCTCACTAATCTTCCTGCTTACAGTTTAAGTTTTTGGTTTCAGGTACTTCAGCTAGCAAGGGGAAGGGCTCGGGATGATGGCATGGCACACACCACAGCTTTAGCCTGGAAGTTATACTCTGATATTTTTGACATGATCTTGACATCAGTATTGATATGAGACATACTTTATGAAAATTTGAGATAGACGACTTATGGGTTTTTTATATGATATATGGATATTATGGTTTAAGTAATGTTTTCAAACGAAATTTTTGGCTTGTATTTTTGGGATGTCTCAAGTTGGTATCAGAGCCTTGGTTTGAGGGATTCGGGCATACTCTCAGGTGTGTCTGAACTCAAACTAAGGAAATGGTATAAGGTTTCCAAAAGAAAAACATTTTCGAAAGAATATTTTTGAAAAAGAAACTTAAAAAGAAAAGAGTTTTTGAAAAAGAGAGAAGGGTGTGGTGCATGCTATCAGCCGAGCCCAAGTAAGTACCCCCAAATTGCCAATACAAGTTTATGTTGTTATTATTAGTTTCAGTAGAACAGCATGCTAGAATAGGACTAAGGATCTAGCAAGGATGCCTTATCTTCCTACTATATGGGTTTTAGCTTTATGAGAATTGCATGCTTGTATCGAGTAGATAGTAGTAGGATAGCCTGTGTAGGTTATGCATGATAGTA